AGAGCGGGACTAGGGCTCTCGGGACGAGGAGGAGCATGAAGATTGGCAAATGGATCTTCTCCAAATGGATCTTTTGCGTTCTTAACAGAAAATCATCAGTATTTTATTTAACGTTTCAATAAAGCATAAAATATATTAAGCATGGTAAAATATCTATATTCGTAAAACTAATAATTATTATTTTTCTACGCTACTTCTCAATTTCATTACTATTAGCCATTATCATCGCTTAAAAGTTAAAAATGTGAACTAAGAAGTGTTGAGAATAAGATTGCTTAATTCAAATGTGTTAATATGGAAATTTGAATCGTTTATAAATAAAATTTTACATACCAATGTAGTTGTAGACGTTTTATTCTCAGCTCGCTTTCCATTATCAAATGGATCAAAAGGATCTTGCTTTACCATATTGGTATTATCGAACGCAGTAAAAGGATCTGCTGTAAAATTCTATGGGATGGTTTTTTTTTTTACTATCTAGTGACTATGCTTACAGAATAAAAGTTTAAAATATGAATAAATATCATTCATAAATTAAATTGTTATAGTCAAATATTAAAGTCCAACATTTTCTAGGTGCATTATGCATGATACGCATGATGCATCATTTATTCTTGTTATTCAACAAATATCAAACAAAGATAAGTGATGCATTATACGCATCATGTAAGAACAGGAATGCAATCCTACTGCCAGCTTCACTTTCCTCTCGTTTTTGTTCTTACATTATACTTTACTACTTCATGTTTGTATGACCATAACCGTGTCTTCTATTCTATTTATCTATCTACATATTGTTGCATGGATACATTTGCAAAATAACAACAGAATATCACAAGAGAAAATGTAAAAGGCAGGAGAGCAAAGAGTGAAAGATACGTGGATATAATCATAGAAAAAAACTTACATTAGATTGCTGCGCAGAAAACGCACTTCCAAATGGATCGGATATCGGTGCGCTAAATGTTTCTTTGGCTTTATTCAATGCAAAAGGATCTTGATCTCCAAATCCGTTTAAAGTGCTAGTTCCAGTTGTATCCGTTTTCATTTCATTCGCTTCATCTGCACTCTTAGTTGTTTCATATCTAGAGATAAAAAATTACCGTCAAATTTAATTTAACAATTACTTACGATAAAATTACGGTAAAATAATAATTTATTAGTAAGTTTGATAAAATTTGTTGTTTTTTAGTTTTTGCATAAATAGGTTTTATTTATGTTTTTTAAATTTTATTTATATTTTTCACATTAATGCATAATATAAAACAATATTCTTCTAATATTCTCATCGAAAGTATAAATCGCTGATAGAATAATAATAGGACTGTTCACTAAATTTAAACGTAAAATCTAATCGATGCTAAAATCCGTTTTCAATATATGATTCCCTAGAAATTTAATAGTGACCAAAAAATAGAAAGAGATGCAGATTAAAAATTCCAGTATTTTTATCTTGTTTTATATTTTGAAATCTAACTTTTTATTGAATTACTTAATTATTCTGTATTTCTATTTAGATATTCCGTAGTGCAATTACAGAAATATTGTTTTATTTTTTATGTATAATTGTCTATGTTTTTACTTTAATAAAAACTTTAACGATCTAAATCACTAAAATAGCAAATAAATAAAAGTTTTATTAGTTTAATTGTAAAGTAAAAAATATAATACAAATAAAAAGATTAAAATATGTACAAAATAGCTTAAGATTATTGTACTGTTACATTTTTTCAGACTCCTAATAAAAAAATTTATTTGAAATTTCTTTAGTTTATATACCAAATCTTTTTGTCATATATAATAGTTGTCAATATATAATAATTAAAAGAAATAATATTACATATTGATATACAATATATTATTGGGTCATCTAAAAACCGCGGATACTTTTTAGATGACTAATATATTGTATATCAATATGTAACATCAAAATGAAAATATAAGTTAAATGAAGCATTTAATAACTAAATGCAAACATCAAATTATTTTATTTTTATTTATTCTAAATTACCATTTTACCAGCCTCCAAAAATTACTGACTAATTTACCGTAATTTATCAAATAATAAATAAATTAAATAAAATAAATTATCGTAAAATTTGATCCTTTTAATCTCTATTCATATCTATTTTTTTTTTACATATATACAAAAACGTCATAATTCTAATGAGGAAGATTTGTTTTAAATAAAATATAATACGCACTCTATATCTTCAATCTCTGGTACAAACTGCAGACTAGTATCAGGTACAAGATTGACATCTCCTGCAGCGAGTGCAGAATCATAAAGTGCAATTGCATCACTCATCTGACGCTGCTGTTCTTGTAAATGAGTAATTTTAGCCTTCGCTTGACAGATTTCTAACTGAGTATTTTGCAATTTCTTCGTCAATTCATTTAGCTGGTCCCTATTTTTATTCTGTTGCTGTTCTAATTGCTGCTCCTCTTGTCGCAGTCCTTCAAGTTCTTGTCTCTTGAAGTTCAACTCTTCTTCTTGACTCCGCAGCACCGATTCTTGTTCTTCAGCTTGTTGGCGAAGTTTATCGACCTTAAAAAAATATAATAGATTTATAAAGAATTCAATTTGCTTGTTGTAGACTTCAAGTAAAAATAATAAAACTTGCTTAATAATATTAGCAGCTAATATGCTTGTATCTGCTATTATGTTTATATAATTGATAGAGTTAAAACGTAAGAAGATGTGGAATTTAATTAGAGATGTGCAAACAATTTTGCGCAAGTATTGCCATTTGCAGGCCGATTTGCCTGTAAAAAATTAACACCCTACTTTTGGAATTAACTTATTTTGAAAATTGTGCTGAATTATGCTAGATTTGTGCTAGGCATTAATACCCCAATATTAAAATTAAAATATTAACATTAAAAAATAAAATTAAAAAAAAAACGATGTTTTAGGCTAGTTCCCACTTTGCGTTTATTACAATGTTTATGATTGTGCTAAGTTATGCTAATACTGTGCCAAAGTGGGACCTTTAAATAATGACAACAATAGAAGTTATAAAATAATTTTTGACAATTCGGAATAAAAATGACGCCCATGACTGCTGTCATGTGCTAATCTAGCACATGACAGCACAACCTTCAAAATCTTCGACACAACGATATTAAGAGCACTTTAATTGAATTGACGTCAATTTTTAATAATAATAACTATTAAAAACATTTGTGTTATTCACTTATCGATTCATGTCCTCACTTATTATAATTCATATTATTCCCTTCTAATCAGACAATTACAATCCGAACTATGAATAAAGAATCCGCTAAAGACCGCGCGTAAGAGCAAAGTTCTCTTAATATTATAACTTAAAAATATGTAGGCTCTGAGAATAAATCAGCTAAAGGAGAATACAAAAGCCAATTAACCCTTTGAAGCAAGCATTTTTCTTTACATAAGATTCAGTTGAAATTTGTTACTCGGGGGTTTTCGCGATCGTTGATTACGAATCTGACCTCAGATTTTCGAAATTCAAAATAGCGGATCGAAAACCAAAAAGTTACTTAATCGGAAACGGAACTGGGTACAAACTGGGTACTCAGGGATTTCTGAGGTCGTTGATAACGAATCTGGCCTCAGATTTTCGAAATTCAAAATGGCGGACTCAAGATGACGGACAAAAAAATTTAAAAATTTAGACTTCAGATTCATAATGAGTGACTCAAAAAACCTACTTGATCCCATTTTACAGCCCCAGAACTAATTTTTAAATTTTTTGTTCACTATCTTGGATCTGCCATTTTTAATTTCGAAAATCTAAGGTCAGATTCGTAATCAGCGACCCCGAAAACCCGCGAATAACAAATTTTAACTAAATTCTACGTAAAGAAAAATGTATGCTTCAAGGGTCTGCCATATTGAATTTTTTAATTTTGACTTCAGATTCGTAATCAGCGACCCAAAAAACCTCTCGAACTTCATTTTCGGCTAATTAGCTATTGTTGATTAGTCACAATCACATTTATTGTTAAAAAGGGAATTTTTCCAGTTAGTTTATTTATAAAATTTTGTCAACAATAGGAACCCAGCAAACGAGAATGGATTAAAATGGATTGAACTTTTTTCTATCCGAATGCGTATTTTAAATAGCGAATACTTTTTTTGGATTTAATTGGATTCAATTAGATTCAATTGGATGCAATTGGATTGAAAAACTGCATTTTCTATTCAAAATTTTAAATTGAACAGTATTTACAATGCACAGAAAAAGCTAATATTATTTTTAGATTGAAAGGTATAGAGATATGCTCCATGCAATTCCTATAAATGAATAAAAATGCATTCAGGATTGAAGAGCATTCATTTTAACATTCGTGAATCAATATTTCGAAAATCTGAATCCATTTCAATTCATTTCAATCCATTCTCGTTTGCTGGAAATGTTTCCACGATTTTTTTATAACAATTGATGTTCTACAAAATTGTTAATGTTCTTTTCATTGTAGTAATATGTTAGAAACTGTGTGAAAAACATAAAAAACTGAAGTTAAAAAACATATGTGTGACATTGTGCCGCAAAGAGTTAAGAGCCTACACAATTGTTGATGCGCAAATACGGATTAATTTGATAAGTAAATAAATAACTTTGCGCACCAACAATCGCATAGACTCTTAATTGACTTTTTTATTGTCCTTAATACTGTTGTGCCAAAGATTTTGAAAGTTGTGCTGACTTGTGCTAGGCTAGCACAACTCAGATATGCAATTTTATGGTATTTGAATAACTGATACGTATGTAAGCGTCATTTTTATTCCGAATTGTCAAAAATTATTTTATCATAACTTCTATTGTTGTCATTATTTAAAGGTCCCACTTTGGCATAATATTAGCACAACTTAGCACAATCATAAAAATTGAAAAAATTGCAAAATGGGGAGCTGGGCTAAAAAATCGCTTTTTTTTTAATTTTCTAATGTATTTTTCATATTTTGACTTTAATATTCGGGCACAATGTAGCACAAACCTAGTACACTTCAGCACAATTCTCAAAATAAATTAATTCCAAAAGTGGTGGGCAACCTCTTATAGGCTCGATTTTCTTTTCTTGAATCGCAGTGCGATGTGTAATCATAGTAAGATTTATGTAGAGATCTAGATAATTGATTGTTTAATCGCGAAATCGCATGTGATTTAAAATCGTGCCAGCGATTAATATTCTATACTTGTTCTTTAATTCTTTTAAATTATGTAAACAATCGATTAATGCCTAATTAGAAAAACGATATATTTTTCTTCATGAAAGATTTTTTCTTTGAAAACAAATTTCAAATTTTATTAGAGATTTTTCACTGAAAAACAAATACTTTCATATCTGTTGCGTTCTAAAATTAATATTATTTATTATTCAGTTGTCACTGTACTAAAAAATAAATTTACTAAAGATTTTTGATGCGACAAAAATGGACAGTTGAATAAATGTATTGGCGGGAGCAGTGTATAAAGCACAGAGTGCATAATGCATAATGCATAAGAAAATGAACCAATCAAAATCCTTGGTTCCTTCCTTTTCAAGAAATAAAAAACTTTTATTAATTTTCTTATGTTTTATACACTATGCGTTGTGCAAAGGTCTGTGTTTCGATCTTGTAATATACTATAAAAACCGCAATGCAATATATCATATTTATCGATTTATGAAATCGATTTTTAAAGAAGATCGCAATTTTGAAAATCGCACATCCCTAGATTTGATTTTGTTAATTTAATATTATATTTAATTGTGCTATGTTATAATTATTTTGTATCAATAAAAAAAGTTTTCTAAATCTAAATAATTCATTTCTTGAATAGTTCCAAGTAATAAATCCAAGCTACTTGTAACAAGTAATATATATTTACAAGTAATACATATTTACATTTAATAAATGTTTACTTGCAGTAAAGAAAAGTTTACATAGTGGAACTATTCAAGAAACAAATTACTCAGATTCAGAAAATGTATTTTTTTCAGTATATATCACAAAAAAGAATGTAACAAATTATGCATGCCAGCAAAGCATCAATAATGTGTTATTGTGTACGTTTTGAACAATTGTAGAATTTGAATTGCATATATTATATAATAGATATTTTGTAAGTTTTGTTTACGTCAATATAAAAATACATATTTTTGGAAGATATATATTTATCTATCTTAGAGATGATATTAACAATATTGTACACACACGTACGCACGTACGCGAACGTATATAGTGTGTCCTATTTTAAACAGTTAAGCCAAATATCTCGAAAACTAAACTCGGCAACAAATACAAAAATATTTCAGATAAAAATTGTATCGTTTGAAGAGAGATAAATAATAGTAAAATAAATTTTTGAAAAAATCAATAATAAAATAAATTTTTGAAAAAATCGATTCTTCAAGATTACATAAAAATTATTGCAATTTTTTAAATAGATATATCATTTTTGTATATCTGCTTATTCTATATAAAAATATTAGAATTATCGAAAAATAAATAGTCTATTCTATAATATAATATTTTATAATTTATTCTGGCGTATTTTGACATAAAATATAAAATATCTTATAAATTATTAATTTTTTAATAACTCTTTAATATTTTTATTTGCAAAATAACTAGAAGTATCGTATTATGTAAAAAAAAATCATATAACTCCATCTAAAAAATGATAATGACTCAGGCAAAAAATTTTTCGAGCATTGATTTTATTCGTTCCCTTCAGACATACATTTTGTCTGAAATATTTTTCTTTGCCTCAATTTAAAAATTCGCCATTCTAATATGTAAGTACATACTTACACATGCATGTACATACATACACCATAGAAAAATAACAAAATATTCCGTAAAAAAAAAAGAATAAATTTATTTCCTATCGCGACAGACATTATGTATCGATTTTCATTGTATAAAGATAAAGATCCACTTTAAGCAATATTGTCATCATATACCTTCTTCTGTTCCTTTTGAATCTTCTCTTCGACCTCATTCAAATCTCTATCTACTTCAGTCTTCTATAAGCCAAACATAATAAAACAAAATCATAAAGAAAAACATAAAAAACATAACTAGATGAATAATAAATCATATCTTTTTCCATTTCTATCTTTTCTCTCATTCCCTCTTTTTCGTAATTAATTTTTAATAATTAATAATGTGTTAAGATAAACGTCAGTAAATACTACAACTAATTCTTATTTATGTATAAAACAAATTTTATTTATGTATCAAATGAATAATAATAACATTTCAGATTCACAAAATAATATATGAATAAAATATAGTGACTAAAAATATAGTAAAAGAATGGATTACGATAAATATAATCACTATTTATTTTTTATTATTATTGTATCTGCTTTCTATGTATTATTCATATATAACGAAAAGTATCCGTAAACTCAAAATACGCAATATGGCATATATTTATTATTACTTTATTACGTTTATTAAATATCATTTAAAATATTAACTTTATTTTACAAGGTCAATGTATAAACGACAACTATATATTAGGTGTTGGAATTAATTCGTAGCGTTTTTTAATGAAAGAATGTTATTTATTTCACATGAGCATTAAAAAATACATTAATGAAAGTACTTCCCATCACTTGTAAAACGCTACGAATTAATTCCAACACCTAATATGTGTACCGCATATAGTTGTGCCTAAAAAGCAGTGGCGCGTACATTCAATAAGCAAGCCGGTATATTATCGAATTTCCATTTACCTGGGCTTTTAAGTCGTTCAATCTCTTCTGTGCCTCACCCTTCTGATTTCCAAGTTGCTTCAATGTTGCCGCAAGCGTATCCAATTCGCTTTGAAGACTTTTGATTTCTCCATTTTTTATCTTAATATCGGCTTCCTTTTGCGCAATATCCTGTTCCATACTTTGTCTTTCACGTACAAGTTCCGCTATGTCTTTACTTATCATATCCAACTCTGGATTCGAATAGCCTGATATGTTATTGTTTTCCTGTAATAGAAGCATATTCAAAATGTTAATATCTGATCATTGTTATGATATTTCCTATTATACAAAGAAACAGTATTTTTATTTCAATTTAAAATTCATTTTTCATTGTATTATGTATATTGAAAAGGAAAGAGAATACAAATTATACTTTATATCTAAAAAAAATTTTCATATCACATATATTTTTAAGAATTTTTCATATTTTAAATTTGTGAAGATTTTTGAAAAATATCTTAAATTTTTGCAAATTTTTGTAGGTTTTCTTTAGAAATTATAAAATAAATCATTAATAAAAATCTTAAAATATATATATTTTAGAATTCATATATACAAAGAATTCTAGAAAACATATAGATATTCTCAAAGAAATGTTGAAAAATGTTCCATTTCGTATAAAAAAATTTGAAAAATTTTCTAAAAAGTTGTGAAACTATACGGAATTCTAAAATTTATAAATTCTGAAGAATTATATAAAAAATTATCAGAATTTTCGCTAATTAAAAATCTTAATTAATGATACAATTCAAATTACAATTTTTATATAAAGAATAAAATGTTACATAATTCTAGTGTAGATGAATTCATACAATATAGTGAATTTTGGGGTGCATTCTATTTCATGATGCGCATGATGCATCATTTATCCTTGTTGTTCCGAATGTAAACAAGAATAAATGATGCATTATGCACAAGATATTAATTACTAAAAATTGCCAAATATTGGTCTTGAATAATTTTTTACTCAAATACTATCAATTTTACAGAAAAACTGCAAAAGACAAAAATCATTTATTTTCTTCTCATAAAGTTCTGAAAATTTTTTCAGAATTTTTTAATACCGTATTTTCTCATGGTAAAAAAAAGAAAATGCAGTCTAAAAAGTTGATAAAAAATTAATAGTAATTAATATCTTGTTAACTATTGCAAAATAGAGGACTTTTTGACTCAGTTTATTCCTCTCTACCTGCTCATGAAATATTTGGCGATTATTTCCAGACACTCTGTATGGGGCATTCTTTGTTAAAAGTTATCCTCTCATCTGTCCAAAATTCAGAAGGGCCTTCGGGATTCGTTTTGGGCTTAAATTGTTGCTTGAGACTTTTAAAAAAAGCGTGGCTCTGTGTGTGTGTGTATGTGTGTGTGTGTGTGGGGGGGGGGGACGGGGTGGTGTGTGTGTATACATACTATATAAACATATAAAATTGCTGTCACAAAGTTTGAGTTTTGTTAATTCTTGTATATATTGCTCGCATTTTTTGTGTTTGATTTTTCCAAGATTGTGCTATTTAGCAAGAGCTATAGTATTTAATTGTTCTATGTCTTAATTTTTAGATAATAATAAGTTTATTACAGTTTTTTAAGATTAATTTGGGGAATTTTGGGGGGATTATTACATTTCAGATTAATTGCGTTAATGTCGACAACCATATCGACACGTAATTATTATTTCTGAAATTAATTCATTCGTTTGAATAATATATATATTAGTTCAACATCTTAATACTTAGACCGTAGTGGCGCTTCGGATTGTAATGTTATTTAATATAAACGGTCTTGTTTCCTATCTTATTAATTTTTAGATTTCATTTTCGTTCGCGTAGAGTTTCATAGTAAGTGTTTCATAAACATTCTGTTGAACGCAGCATATAAAAAAAATGACAGGACATTATACTGGCATTTCATTTCATTATATTGCGATACTTCACGACGCTATACACAATGATAATGATGAAAACATGTATAATGTTAATTTTAATCTATTATTTCAATAATGTATCTTTAGCATTACTACAAGCAAATTTATTAACTAAGCATTACAAAGAATTACTAAAAAAAATTCATAAAGTGTTTAATGGCAAGTATGGTAGGTAAATGTTTTAATTACTTGTGAATAATTAGATATACAGATGTCAATCTATCTATCTATAATGCGCGCGCGCGCATGTGTGTATGTGTGTGTGTGTGTGTGTGTGTGTGTGTGTGTGTGTGTGTGTGCGTGCGTGCGTGCGTGCGTGCGTGCGTGCGCGCGTGCGTAATTATATATAAGTATTTGTTATTATAATAACAAGGTGATGAAGTTCTTTTAAATATCAATGAATATGAATATCCGAAAACTAACAAGACCTTAAGACAGCTACACAAACAACAATGGCTAGATTATTACAAGTGTCTGAAAGAAATATACGCAGATATAAAGCAAGACAGAATTATTTATCCGAGTGCGCTCATAGCGCTCGAGGGAACATCCGTAACGTACGATTAAGAAAATTAGCACAAAAATTTGCCATGAACAATTACAATAAAACTTTAATAAATTGATTTACAGTTTAGAATGTCAAATCTGCATCTCGCCACTGGAAATGTATACGACTTCTCTAATAGAATGGTACTTTAATAGCAGCAACAGTAAAAGCAGTAAAGTTAAAAATACGCTACACAATGGGAAAGGCATTGTCAATTCACCAGATAATCGATATATCATCATGTATAATGTTAAGGTGTAAATTTAGGAAGTATGGCGTATATGATACATAACTGCAAAAGATAACTTGGAGAAATATTTTTTTTATACATAAATTATACACATATTATTAAAAAATTAAATTTTTTCAATATTAATGAGAAATGTAATAATTATAAAGTCATTGAAAGGCCGAAACATGTAAGAATTTTAATTGATTATAGATTATAATAATATTCATTATGCAATATACTCTTTCATTGTTCTCAAAACTGGTAATTTAAACTTTTACATGCCTTTTATTATATTGTTTAATTAATAATATTGTTAAATTAATAATAATTAATGATTTTTAGTTAGAGCAAGCTGGAGCTTATTGGTGTGAAGTAGGACATACTGTAGGATCAATTTATTATTTACATGTCGATAGCAATATGGAACCAGTTAATGTATATCCGGATAGAGCGTCTTATATATTGCAAACAACATTGATGAAAAATGTGTCGGAATACAAGTTGAAGGTTTATACCACTTGGACAACGTGGAGTTCTTGCTCCACATGCGATGCAGTTGGGATAAAACTGCGATACGGTTATTGCACCGTTTCTCTTTTAGAAATGTCAGATCACAAATCTTTTATTAACAAAGGTGCATCGATAATGAATAAACTACAACATGTGAAACAAGATATAAAGAAAGGTAAATAAAAACAAGATATTTTTTAATTCTTTCTCGCCAAGATTCTTACTAAATTTTAAGTTACTTAAAGAACGGAATCAAACGCAAAACGACATAATCCAAATAGAAGTGATAAATACAACTTTGGAAGTTCAATTAAAAATGGCGTTAATGCTATTTAAGAACAAATTACCGTGTAAATCGAAATTTCTTCCAGAACAAGTGCGACTAATTCCCATTATCAAAAATAAAAAAATTGAAATTATGAGACAATATTGCAAGGTATGCATACTAAACAATACTTAAGATTTTTCATTACAATCACATAATATTAAAGGAAAAAATAATGAATCTTTTCTTCTTTCTACGATCTATGTCGATTAATTTTTTTACAAAATGTTATTCATTTTTATTTAAATTAACAAGATTATTTTCAATTAAATTGTTATTACCTAATGTTATTAAACTAAACTTAGCTTAACGGCACTAGGTAACAATAATCTAATTGAAAATAACATTAATATGCAAAGAAACTATTTTTATACAATGTAAAGAAAATATCTATTTGGTGCACTTCGTAATTATTATTGCAATAAAGTAGAAATTTTAATGAAAATCGAAACAAATGCTCTTGCAACAGAAAAAATGTCGAAAGGATGTCATATTTGAGGTGCGCGATAAAATGGGTAATATTCTGGAAAGTGCAAACAATAGTGCAGGTATATTTTCTATGATTCAAGAAATGCCTAAACTATTACCATCAATTGCACGTAATGTTATTTATGAAAAACATAATAAAAAAATCGAACTTGTTTGTCCAGGGTAAAATTTAAAACATAAATTCTAATCACTTCACTAATAATGACAAATATCAAATCATGATTTAAAAATTTTCTCTCACTTTAGAAATTTGAATACGGATGTTCCGATTGTTTGGCGGATCAATGATAAAATAATTATTCCGTCTCACATTAAATCCCAATCAAATGGAAGAATTCATATTAATCCTCAGATGCAAATACTATTTGAATCTTTGAAGTTTGAGGATGCTAATATATACAGGTAAATAAAATTAACGAACGAGAACACATAATAATAATCTAAAAATTTGTTTCATTAAAATTTGTTTAATTATAGTTGTTGGCAAAATAATGAAATTGCTGGAATAATTAAGCTAAATGTAATTGGAGAAATAGAATTCAAGTTGAACCATCATGTTATTTTAATGGGCGCTATCGTCATAATTAGCGTCTTTTTCATAATATTTTGGAAAGCATTCAAGCAACGAATGCGATATACGATGCATTAATAAATACTATAAACGCTATTTTATAAATATACTAATGTATAGATTAAATTGTTCATTGACAATTTGTAAAATGATGTGTTTATGTTGTGTATGAAGAAGAAAAGGAAAGTGGTGAACCTCAAATAAGCTTTAAATTAGAGCTCGAAGTATTCGAATATTCGCTTGCCTACTACGTTATCTGTAATACGGATCTGGATCGATTCCGCAGGAATTCGGGTACCTGCAGAATATTGTACAATGTGAGTACTTGTGGAACCGTATACAATACGGATATTCGAGGAATCGTGGGCGATACGAATACCTGTTTCGATGCGAGTATCCTACAAATATCTGCGTGTAATTTTGTCAATTTTAAAGGTATGTGTTTTACGGGTTTTACAATCATTTGTAGTGATTCTCATTCCGTTTATAATTAAAATATTCTGGAGTAAATTGTTTCACATTATAGATATTAAATACATTTCTAAATTTAATTTGTTTTGCAGAAACTGTACGATCAATACATCCTTAATTCAAACTGTTTAACTATAAACAAATTAATATAAACAAAATTACAATAGTATAAACAATTCTACCTTTTAACAATTCTACCCTAAAACGCCTTTAAAATAAATAAAATTACACGCAGATATCTGTAGCATATAGCGGATATCCGTATCGAAATGGGTATCCATATCGCCCACGATTCCGCTAGTATCGCATATTGTAGTTTTGCGGGTACTTGCATTATACACAGTTCTATTGTGGGTATCCACATAACTGGTCCAGAGCCGTATGCACGGATAATGAATCTGGGAGCGGATATTCAAATTTTACGTTACCCGATTCCTTTTCTGAGTTCTACTTTAAATATAGCATGTTATAAGTACGTCAGAAAAGAATTTTAATAATTACCACAATAGTTTCCCCAACTTTCCGTATAGAAGGCGGTATCATTTCAGGAGTTAAACTTGTCGGAGGATCTATACCGTTGAGTTTCTGCTTGATAAGCCACATGGCTATGGCAAATTGTTCTTTATTTAATTTTCCACTTTGACAAATATCGCATAAACTCCTAATTCATAAAATATTTTCGTTAAAACCATGATAATTAATTTTTGATAAATTGTTCACAATAAAATATTGTGTTACCATATATGGGCTAATACAGAATGTGGAAGTCCACTTTGTAGGAAGACATCCTTGATTTCTAAACCAGAGACAAATCCATCTCTGTCCATGTCAGCTTGTAAAAATAACTTTTCCGCAGCTATTTGATCTTCAGCCGAAACTACCCAATGTTGCGCGCTTGTCTAAGAATATACAGTACAAGAACATTAGCAATTTTGGATGCGGAAATACAATAAATTCTTAAATTACAGAGTTTAAAAGATAAATACTTTTACAGCATCTAATCCAGTCAAGCTCTTAACGGTCGTCGTATTTGATAAGGGTGGTGCTTGTGATTGCGATGACGGTGGTGCAGTAACTGCCATGCCTATCAGTGTAGGAGACTTAGTCTTAGAGATAATAATGTCTTTCCTTTTATTAGGCGGCATTAATTCTGGTGGAAGTACACTTGGTATCGCATATTTTTCCAATGCTTTATATACAAGATGCATAGCCTGCATAATAATACAGTTAGGCAGAAAAAAAAAGAAAATATAATTTGTGATACAAATATTGTTAAAATACATAGAACATAAATAATGTTTAATATCATTCAAGATAATCTCTTAACTTAACATTATATTGTTATCAAAAATTGTTTCTTCAATCAATATACGAGGGCAAGTCAATAAGTTCTTAGAAAATCTGTCAGAGGGCACTCGCAGTGTCATGTCACATTACTTTTTGACAAGCATCTTTCAGCTGATTACTGTCAAATTTTGAACGGAATTCATCGCGTGGTTTCATTTCTGTAGACGATTAAAGCGAACAATCTTTGTATTTTTTGCAAAATGAAAAAAAACAAATTTCAAACATCTTCATATGAAAGGTTTAACGCCAAAAGAAATCAAAGCCGAGTTGGATAATGTTCATAGCACATCTGTACCAGCGTTTGCGACTGTATACAATTGGGTGAATGAATTTAAATGTGGTCATACATCCACATGTGATGCATTGCGTTCGGGACTTCCAATTGAGGTTGCTACCAAGCCAGAAATCATCGATAAAGTCCAGAATATTGTTTTGACTAATCAACGAATGAAAGTGCGCGAGCTTGTTGAGGCCACAGGCATATCACATGGCACAGTGATTTCAATTTTGCACAAACAATTGGGTATGAAAAAGCTATTGTCTTATCAATAACTTTGCACTCGCCGCTTTGCTCACTATGGACCACAAGCGCGACCGTGTGATGATTTCAAAACAATGTTTGAAGATGTTTCAACGTAATCCAGATGAATTTCTGCGTCGATTCATTACTGTGGATGAAACATGAATCCATTATTTCATACCCGAGACGAAGGAACAATCAAAACAATGGACTTCACCGAGTGAACTAGCTCCGAAGAAGGCGAAGAGCGTGAAGTCGATCGGAAAGGTAATGGCCACAGTTTTTTGGGATGCACGCGATATAATTCATATCGATTACCTTCCGTCGAAGCAAATGATCAATGACGATTACTACGCAGCCTTATTGGACCGTTTCAATAACATTTTAAAGAAAAAACATCCCCATTTGGTGAAGAAGAAAGTGCTCTTTCAAGACAATACACAGGTTTACACGTGCCCTGCACCGATGGTCAAATTCAACGAATTCCGCTACAAATTACTTCCCCATCTAGCATATTCGCCAGATTTAACCCTCTGCGATTATTTCCTGTTTCCAAATCTGAAGAAATGGTTCAGAAGAAAGAGATTCACAAAGAGCAGCTCATCGCTCAGAGGCTTATTTTGAAGGGTTGGACAAATCATATTATTCGGACAGCTTGAAAAAGTTGGATCAAGTGTATCGAGCTGAAAGGAGATTATGTTGAGAAATAAAAATCGGTAAAAAAAAATGTGTTTTACTATATTTTTCTAAAAATTTATTGATTTGCTCTCATAGTATCCATAAATTATACAAAACGGATGAGTGAAGAGGACTACATTCAGTCAAAATGAATCTTAGTGTCTTACTTTCTTGAAGATTTTTACAATTTTCAGTTTAAAAATACTATCCTCCAATTATATACTTGCCGATTCTAAAACACAATTCTAGACTAAAGTTAGAGTACATAATCAAATTAAATAATATGCTTTAATAGAATTTAAGGAGGTTCTCGCGCTACTTCCTAGTCAATAGACAGTTTATTCATAATACTATGTAAAACAATTAAAATAATAGATTACTAACAATATCTTATGCCATTAAACATAATTGTTGTTAATGTTACTAAACATTTTCAAAAAGACAAAATAAAAGTTATGAGATGCTCATTAGATGAATATGCATTTGACACATATTCTAGTTTTTTTTCATTGAAGAATATAAATATTTTATAAATCGTATGGTTAGTTTAAATGAAACTTCACGAGAACAAACTTAAGTGTTTACTTTATAGTTATAACGGTTTTTAAATTGTTGTCTTATATGCGAGTGTCTCAATTTAAAAGAGAATAACTACAGAATAAGGTTATATTTTCAATCTGTAATATAAAATTCTATAAATTTAGAATTAAATATCTTCAAAATGATACGGTAAAAGTCAATGAAATTTTTTCTAGATATTTTTAATATTATTAACTTTTGTACTACAGACTTGTCTTATATTTCTTCAAACGCGAGAATCTCCTTAAATAAGAGATCCGAACAAAACGAGAGAGATGCAGATTCAAATTTTGGTTGGGATGATATTTTTTGCAATAAATTCCTTATAGTGTTTTAAAAATGCTCTTTAGACTCAATAATATTAATTCCTTGTCAATTTAATTTGTGATATTACTCCAGCTCTACTCTAGAATTATTTCAAGAACAACAAATAATCGGTGCTTGAACTGGAAATTATAAAAACATTATTAGGCACTAAGACCAGCCTCTTTTCACTTGCTTGTGTTGAATCTTTCTTGACTTATTTTTATTTAATATTCATTTATGCAAGAGTTAATATAACATATATAAAAAAAAACAATTAATACTTACAACTACAAATTCGTGTCTATCCAGCATACCATCCTTGTCCATGTCTGCCAAGTCCCAAATCTTACCAAGAGTATCCAAGGGAAGTTTGCTATCCATAAGAACACCTTTTACTTTATTTCCAGATATGTAACCATTAGATGGCTGTAAGCTATCAAAAAGCTGATCGTATTTCGCTCGTTCTGTAGGATTAATTGACCAATCTCCATTATTGACAGATGTTATTACAGGCAAAGCATTAGTCATAGTCTTCTGTGGAATGACTGGAATGTCTCCCTGATATCAAAGAAGACAGACAATGTAATGCTTGTTCCAATTGCAAAAATGTGTCTATATGTAAATTTACCATCTTCGGTGGTGGCAATTCTAGACTTAGATTAGATATATTCAAATCCTTTCCTGTTTGTGCCAATGCACATAATTTGAGTGCAACAAACAAGCCAGATTTATCTAAAGAACCTCTCGATTGTGGATCAGCCATATCCCATATTTTACTCAGAATAACATCACTCAACTGGGATTTCTTAAGAAATCTTGCAGCATCCATTGCCTCAATTCGTCCATATCCATTTGGATCAATCTAGGAACAAATGTATGTGTGTATATATATATATATATATATAGATAGATAGATAGATAGATATATAAATATATATATTTGAACATCAATAATTGAAAGGCTTCCCAGAAGAACATTGCAACCAACTTTTTTAAAAATTTTATTGGAAATAAAGCAAACAAGATACGATACAAAAGCAGGTTTTTTTATTAAAACATTACATACAACTGATGATTGCAATGTCTTTCCTGGAAGCTCTTCAGTTATCAGTATGTCTACAAATATGCCTCTCCCAACGAATGATATAATACCTGATTATAATAAGCTTCATATATTGCAGTATGGCATCCAGCCACCTGTAAAAGCAGCAAACTCAAATGCACTTTTTATTTTTATCTGCACAAGTTTTAACGATCAATATAAATAATACATATATTCAATTGTTTGTCATAAACTGTCAATATAATGTTTAACAAGTAGATATTCGTCAACATGAATAATATAAATAAGTAATATATATAATAAGCGTTGATATATAAAAACACTTATTATCAAAGCTTATTCATACCAGATAAACAAACCGTTAAATTAAAAGAAAGTCTAATTCGCGCGTTTCTGGAACAGCACATTAATCAAACAACAAAGGCTTCCTTCCTGACGAGTAAAAATTTATCAATCAAAATAGGTACAGATAAAATACTCCGCCATCGAAAAGAGGACGTTTCGACCTAGACCGTCCGAGATAGATAAGATATCGCAACGAAGACGCATAATACTGCGACAGTTTAGTACAAATCATGGCGAAACTTTACGAAAGAAGCTGTCATATTGTGCGAGTCATATTAAACGTTATATTCTCGTAAAATCGTGAAAAACGTTCCGTACCTGCGTAGGTGACGGCAAAGCGGCCATACTTGCGTTAAGCACTGGTTTAACCAATCAGACACTCAATCGATACTGTACGATTTTTAACAATTTCGTTTAATATTTCGCGGGGATATCGCTTTTAATCATTGAATATTCCAGCGAATTATAATGGTTTCATTCTCTATTATCTCTTGTAAATTCAAAATCAAGGAATGCACGACAGAAAAAATTTATTTAAGAATTTAAGAAGCACTAATTTATGAGACACCTATCAAAATCACTTCTATCGTTTATTCAAAATCGATTGCACTAAACATTCATATTAAGTCTGTTCGCATTGCTTGCACTTTTTCAATTCAGCAATCAGCATCTTCGCTTTTTCCACAGATTTCTATATATTGTCAAAGAGAAACCTGAGGAATCTGAGAAAGGACATAACAACCTTTTGTCTGTTATCGCAAAATGCCCTAGCCCTAGAGTAAAGAATAAGGGCGCATTCACACCTTAACGGAAAAGCAGAAAGCGGAAAAATAGCCAATCAGGGGCCACTGATGGGCTGCATTCGGATTCCCATCTGGGGAGCAATTCCGTAATTGTTTTATACCTCCTACCACGCTGGATGTGATGCGGTAGCCAAAATAAGCTTACAGCTCCTAATGTGTTCATTGGTTACGGCGTCTCATTTTGCCGCGCAACAAGCGTTTCCGCGTCCAGTGTGCAGAAGCCATTAGAGTGCGATTGCATAGAACGCGATACGCAGTATGCCTACTGCACACTGGACGCGATAAGCTATGAGTGACGAGTGATATCCAATAAGAGCTTTGCTTTGTGTCATTACGTGAGAAAAAGCACAGCTTTTATTGGATATCGCTCGTCGTTCATCGCCCATCGCGTCCAGTGTGAGCTAGGCAGTATGCGATACAGTAACTAATAATGACTAACTAAGTAACTAGGAAACCGCGTACTACATACCGCCTATTTCTTTCGCTGATATTACATGAAGCGCGGTTTGCGACACGGGCTAGCGTAACAAACTCACATTATTATATACTGCTATGGTATACTTTTTAATGGAATTAATTGATTTAAAAGCAATTATTAAGTAAATCTGTTAAAAAAATATGAGTATCGATAAAGTGTGCATAAAAATAAGTTAATATATTTAAAAAAATTCATACTAATGTGAGTTTGTCATTAGTCCGTGTCGTAAATCGCGCTCCATGTAATATGGAGTTCCTCACAATAAAAGGAACAGAGAATAAGAATTTCAACCTATCAGAAATCATATGTTGTGAAATCAACCAACTACAGTCAAGCATTCTCCTGTCGTTCGACTGTAATAGAGGAATACTCGACTGTAGTTGGTTAGTTTTTACATTCTGATCCAGTTTAAATCCTCGATGGAAACTAGGTCAGTGTTACTAATCCATACAAATTAAAATTATTAGGTCATCTAAAAAGTATTCGGTTTTTTGTCACTAGATGTGTGTTGATGGTCTAGTGACAAAGTACCGCGGATACTTTTTAGATGACCCAATATATTGCTTAGGGATTTTTGTACCAACATTTTTCAGTCTAGGGTCTACGAGTTATGACAGTCGACAGATTCGAAACCCTTCTCGGTTAAACCTTCAGTGGAAACTAGCCATTGTTGAAGTAGTAAGGGGTTCCGCACAATAAAAGGAACAAGAAACAAGAGATACAAAGAATAAGAATTTCAACCTATCAGAAATCATGTATTGTGGAATATACAGTTTAAGGTTAAAATTCTTATTCTCTGTTCTCTATTCCTTTTATTGTGTGGAGCCCCTAATAATTGAGCTAGCGAGCTAGTAATTAGCCGTAGTAACTAGCCGTAATTAGCTTTAAGCTATTCACACACTTTCCGTAACAGTAACAGTAAGGTTTTCGATCAATCGCGTTGCTCGATTGTTACAATTACGGTTACGGACGACCGAATCGAGCAACACGATTGGTTGTAAACCTGTGTTACATTTACGGTTACTGTGTGCAATTAGTTTAAGTCCATAAGTTCATCTATAAAAATAAATTTCAACAAGCTGCTCTAACCGGCTGTTTGAGCAACAAAAAGAATCATGTAATCAAAATGGACGCTTGATATTCGTCAATTCTAACTTAGGTCCGTGAAAATTTACTTTTAGTCTATACCACAAATTTATAGATTTAGGGGCTCCACACAATAAAAGGAACAAGGACCTATCAGAAACTCAATACATGATTGTGCGGCGCTCCTTATTCTCTGTTCTCTGTTCCTTTTATTGTGCGAAGCCCCTTAGAGTGAAATCATATGGTGTGGAAAACGACTGTGGAATAGAGAATGCGTCATAGAAGCAACCAATCAACGTTATTCTGTATTATTCCGAATAGCAAGGTTCACGAAACGTTGGCATTTCAAGAATGGATTTGGACATGGAAGAAACCCGCGAAACGCATAATCTTTATATAGAAAGCACCCGGAAGTCTCAAGAATATATTGGGTCATCTAAAAAGTATCCGCGGTTTTTTGTCACTAGATGTGTGTTGATAGTCATATATCTAGTGACAAAGTACCGCGGATACTTTTTAGATGACTCAATAATAGTAACTAACTATATATTGTATTGTATAATATTGGGTGATCTAAAAAATTGAAACCCTATATAAATTGGGTTGACCATCAACACCATCTAGTGACAAAAACCCGTGGATACTTTGTCATTAGATATATGACCATCAACACACATTTAGTGACAAAAAACCGCGGATACTTTTTAGATGATCCAATATATATAGTAACTAATTAGGCAACTAGGAAACCGCGCACCACGTATTGCCTATTTCTTTCGCTGATATTACATGAAGCGCGGTTTGCGGCACGGATGATAAACTCACATTAAAATAGTATGAATTTTTTAAAATATATTAACTTATTTTTATGCACACTTTATCGATACTCTTATTTTTTAACAGCTTTACTTAATAATTGCGTTTAAATCAATTAATTTCATTAAAAAATGCATAGCAGTGTATACTAGCCCGTGCCGCAAACCGCGCTCCATGTAATATCAGCGAAAGAAATAGGCGGTAGGTACTTTCTACGATCATCTCATTCTTGTTTAACATTGTCGAACAACAAGAATATAACGATTTACCGTGTCACATCGTGCCACTTCAGTGTCTCTTGTTGGATAATAATTTTATGCGTAGATACAATTTTTTACATTACAATGATCCAGATGACTTATGTACGTACTTCTTATTTCTTTCTTATTTACCTTATGTGTAAAATGGAAATATTCTAAAGCGCCAACCGAAAATTGACAACTATAATCAGAGTATGTTCGACTATGCTTTTCTGCTGTATCTAAAGGCTTAAACGAACTGTCCAATCAGAGCTCTGGTGTGTAAGTTCGATATTATATCCCAGAGATTATATCAGAGATTAAATGGCTCGTTATTCCCTATTGCCTGTGCCTATTGTATTTAAACCTTAATCGTGTCATGGCGTTTCGTTGGAAAACATCGCGTCCGACGCTGTGTCGATGTGTGTCGCCTAAAAGCCTTGAGGGAAAGCACCCGATGGTACGCGGTTTCCTAGTTGCCTAGTTAGTTACTATTAATTACTGTACCGCGTATCGTGGTCCATGTAATCGCATCCTAATGCATGGTCTACAATGGCAGTAGTGGATTAAGAGCCATTCCACACAAACTTGCATAGCCGCATAACCATATGCATAAAGAAAATTATCCAATCATATTTCTGTCATAAAGACAAACGTAAAATATGATTGGTTGATTTTCTTTATTCATATGTTTATGCGGATATGCAAGTTTGTGTAGGAATGGCTCTAAGGAGTAGGCGTAGAAATCGATCAATCATAGTTGATTATTTTTTTTTACATTCAACTATGATCAATTTCTACGCCTACTCTTTAATCAACTACTGTTACTGCCCATTGTAGATATGCATTACAGTTACGTTATGGACGACCGAATCGAGCAACACGATTGGTCGAAAACCTACGTTACGTTTACGATAAGCAGGGAGAACAAACTCTTGCATAACACATAACACGTAATACATAAAAAAATGTACCAATCAACGTTCTTCATTTCTTTCCTTACTATGAAATAAAGAACTCAGATTAGTTAAATTTCTTATGCATTAAGCTGATTCTACATTAATTGCAAGCTAATCGCAAATTTGTTGCGGCAGCCAATATGAAGCGTTGATTTCGAAATGCAAGCTTCAGATTGGCTGTCGCAACAAACTTGTGATCGGTTTGCAACTAATATAGAACCGGCTTTACGTGTTATGCGTTATGCAAGAGTCTGTGCTCCCCGGTTTATTGTTACGGAAAGTGTGTGTGACTAGCTCTTCTATTTCAACGGTGTTACTAATCCGTACAAATTCAAATCGTGTTGCCTAGGGATTTTTGTTAGTACCAACATTTTTCAGTCTAGTTTTTCGGGAAAATGTCATGTAACCAAATATTAGTTCTTTTATGTACAATACAATATATTCGCCTAGGTGGCGTTCAAAACACTGTTCCAAGTAAAATATGAGAATTGTTATCTATTTTCTTAGGTAATCTGTGGTGAATAGAAGCCCTAAGCCAATTTCTGATTTGAAAGATATCTAATGTAAACAAGTAATTGTATAAAAAAGGTGATTTTTTAATATTAACACACACAAATATGCCACGATTACCTTTACACTGTTCATCTGGAACAGGTATTATTACGCCATTCACTAAAGCAATAAGATTTGCTCGTTATGGTTGCACTAATAGACCGTTTTTTCATATTGTTGTGATTGATGTAAGTTGACAATTTTCTTTTAAAATTGATTCTGCAATGAGTCGATAGTTGGAAATCTTAAATCTTAACCCGTCTTAATCTAAATAGGTGACTATGATTTTTTTGCATCTACAAGTTGTTCATTGTGCAGGGAGTCGTTTATCTCGATTAATGGAAAGGAATAAAGTCGAATTTGGTCAGTCTTAAGAGAATTGGTAATCTTAGTTGTACAAGTTTTATCGGTGAATTGTTCAAATTGGCCAACAGCTAACTTGTATGCTAAGGTCCGATTGCACCAACGTTTGACTTTAAGGAAGGCATAAAATTCTCTTGGTTTCTGTCTCTCTCTTTTGATTTAAAACAGTTTTTCTTATTGAAAAAATCACATACAATTGCATGATGAAATTCATGTAATTAAAACATGTAAATCATGTAACGGATTGTTCCAAAAATCAGTATATGATTTTTAAAAATCACTAATTTGAAAACTCACATGATGACATATTTCTTTTTTTCTATTTTTATTATTCAATTCATTAAAATTTAAAAATTATAAAATCACATGATGGATAAAATTATTTCTAATATCATGTGATTTTTCAAATTATCTAAACTTTTGACATAATTTTTTTCAGTAGAGTTTTTTAAGTCTTGCTTCAAAGTAACATTGGTGCAATCAGTCTTAAAGACTTAAGCACAAAGATGTCCCTAACTGAAATATGAAACATAAGTTATAGTGCAGATTGATAAAAACATAGTGCGTTGACCTGTGACTACGACTAAAGTTTCAACTTGTTACAACCATCTTTGTGCCGAGGTCCTATCACTATCGATTTTCTCAAGACTGGCCAATTCAACTTTATTCCTTTCCAAGTCGAGCTAAATAACTCATTGCAGCTGTGAAAAATTGTTTTACACTTTTTTAAGACTTAGGACTTCTGATTCAACTATCAACTCATTATAGAATTGGCTCAAATATAAAAATCTTAATTAGAAAGAGAAAAATTCTATAGCTAGAATCAATTAATTAATTTTTGTTGTAGGTAAAAGCAGCAGAAACAAAACCACCAATAGAACAAGTTGGTGTATATGATCCTATTCCAAATATGCATAATGAAAAATTAGTGTCCTTCAATTTTGAAAGAATACAATATTGGATTGCCAAAGGAGCACGAATATCCACGCCTGTTGCAGATTTATTAGGGCTCGCTGGATTTTTACCTATTCATCCAAGAACATATATGAGAGCATGGAGAAATCGCAGAACTGTAGAAAAGTGTTCTTAAAGAAAGTATGTGCTAAGAATAAACAGTTGTATTTTATGTAGTTAAGATAATTGTTACGTTATGAACATTTATTTTGTACAAATTTTGTTTAACAATAAAAATATCAATAAATGACACCTTCTAGACAATAATTTAGATTTACATTTAGGAACTAAGTGTGTTTAATTTATCTATTAGGTGTTGGAATTAATTCGTAGCGTTTTACAAGTGATGGGAAGTACTTTCATTAATGTATTTTTTAATGCTCATGTGAAATAAATAACATTCTTTCATTAAAAAACGCTACGAATTAATTCCAACACCTAATAATATATCGAGCGCTCACGTGATACATGACTTTTTCATATAATATATAATTTGTGTCACTTGATTTAGATTAAATTTATGTGGTATGTATTTATGTTAACTTCTTTGTGCAAAAACCTATTTCAGATAACGCTGGATGACAGTTGTCAAGGTGGATCTCTTGTATTTTTTTCATTTTTTTTTTGCAATAAAAAAATATTAATTTTGAAAATATGTGACATAGCTAGTAGTCTAATCATAGATTTTATAAATCTAATTAGTTTCAATTTAATTATTTACAGATTCCCATTTTATATTTTGCTTCAAGGACAATATGCTTATTAATATAATTATTATTTAAAAAAAAGTTTGGTATGTAAAATACGGTCCTCACCTACGATTTGAAATCGGATTCATTCGACGCGTTTTTACATGAAATGAAAGAAGCTGTAAGAAAAAAAGTTAATTATTTAGAATACAGACTGCACCTCCAATTTTGATGAAATTAAATGAAAGAAGCTGTAAGAAAAAAAGTTAATTATTAGAAAAAAAGTTAATTATTTAGAATACAGACTGCACCTCCAATTTTGATGAAATTAAGCTCATTCGACACATTTTTGCTCGAAACGAAAGAAAAAACATAGGTCGGTCAAATCAAGATATTGAACGGTAAAGTTGATGAGTATTGAGATTAAGAAATCTGTCATAGCGACGAGACGCAGCGACACAACAAGATTGGACACGTCTATGCGCCGCGGTTATGCACAACATACAATATAATCGAGGCTAGAATAAATATTTTTTACTTCAATTACACAAATTCTCTTAAAAGCAAATTCTCTACTTTTTAAAAACACATTCTATGCTGTAAAAATATAAATTATTTTCTATGTATTCTACAATATTTTTGTTTTTAAAGCCACTTTCATCAAGCTCCGATTAACTTAACAGACTTAGTAACTTTGCAGGATTCCAACTGAAGCTGATGTCAGAGAAAAAATGCAAAGAGAGAAATTATTCAATATATATTGGGTCATCTAAAAAATATCCGCAATTTTTTGTCACTAGATGGTGTTGATGGTCGTATATCTAGTGACAAAGTATCCGCGGTTTTTTGTCACTAGATGTGTTGATGGTTTATTTATTATGTACGTATATCACATTTGTATGTAATAATTATATATTTAAAATATTAGTTAATAAAAATATTGTAACTTTTAAATTAAAGATCTTAATAAATATAAATATTAGACATCCAAAATGTTTACAGTTAAATATGATAATATATTAAAATATGAATGTAAATAAATATAAGCGTGTTTATAATTTGAACATAGTTTTATTATTTTATCAATAATTTTAAAACACATACAATATATCAGATGTAGTAAAAAGAAATTCATTATTTTTCCAATAGATGGCTTTAGTAATCTATA